TAGGGAGAAGGGCACACACACAGTTTTCTCTGGAGATAATTTAAAACCATTTTCATTTGCCCACTTGCTCATCCTATTTATTGTGAGCTGCAATTGCCGTTCACAACTAGAGAGGTTGCAAGACGAAAAAGATATTTGCACGTCGTCCACGTAAAGAGTAAGAAACGGATGACGGTATAACTTGAGCCAGACTGTTTATCTTAGGCCCGCTTCAGACGGAGCAACTTCACCCAGCAACTTACCGCTGCAACACGAGCAACACGTACCATCCGCGTTCACACGCAGCAACTTTTGAGCTGCATGTAAGCATGGATAAATGGTAATAGTGCGACCTTCAGTATTTGGTGGTACCTTGCGGCACCTAGCTGAAAACGTTTTTCCACGTCCCATTGTTGCTGGGTGCGCAACCCCGTTACCAGCGATCTCATTAGTTGAATCATCAACGTCTCTAAAAACCCAATTATTTTGTATTATTTAGCACGTTTGTAGAGAAATTAATTGAATAATAACTACTTCTATTTTTCTAATCGTATACAATGCTTTTATATGCTTAAAACAGAAAAAAGTATCTAGGCATTCAATCGGCAGTGACATCTTCACGTAATCTGCTTCGAACGTTTCCCGCGTAAAGCGCGCAAAAGACTTTCGTTGCTTTCGTTCGCTCGCTTCTTTTCGCCGGTCCCAATTTCAACAGTTGTGATCATGGCTCGAAATAAGAAAAAAAAGGCAGCAGCTGCACTTGTAATTGCTCTTCTTCACGAGGCAAACTCAAGGAAGACGCGAGTGTAAGTGAGGGAATTTATCCGTTGCCGAGCAGAATTTGGTGCTCACGGCTGCTTGGTGCGCGATTTACTCCGCGACGACTTGGAGTATCGCCGCTATATGCGGATGGATTTGGACACGTTTAACGAGCTCCCAGATGGCATCCTTGAGCATGTCACACTACAAGACACGCTGATGCGGCCAGCGATTACTGTCGAGGAGCAGCTGGACGTTACCCTTTGCTTTCTGGCCACAGGTACATACATCGCATTTTGAAGCTGTTCTGAAATTTGTTTATGTTTGGTGGTTTCAAAAAATTTGTGTTTTAGTTTGGGGCTGGGAAAAGCAAAAATTTGAATGTGTATCTCACTTCATACTCACCGTAAACAAAAATTGTTACTGCAATTATTATAGTTTTGAGTACATACTGAAAATCCTGCATTGCTAAAAAGAGATCCCCTGCAATCTCCTTTCTAGTCCATGTATCTTGCGTTTTATTAATCCCTTAGCTCACCTTTTTTGCAAAAAGAAAATGGCATGTTTTTGTTGGTCAAAGATTGCACAGCTACCCTCCAACTTTGGTGTAGAATACCTAAATAAATTAAGTATCGCAACATTTTTTTTTTTTTCAGGGGAGTTGTTTACCTCTTTGCACTACCAATACCGGATGGGGGTGAGCACTGTCCAGGAAAAGGTTATCGATGTGTGCTTTGCTCTCTACCTCTTCCTACAACTGAGGTGAGTAGTTGTCTCATACACTGGCACATTGTATTAAATAAGACAGTATGGAGAAAACAATTGTATTAATTTCTTCCTCACATATGCATATCCCAGTCTGGTTGAAAACTAAGATGTTGGAGAACTGATATGTTGCCTGCTACTCTAGAGTTTCCAGGATTGAGGTTCCTTTTGAAGTTGTTCCTATTAGCTCTGACTATGTACATGTTTGATTTAAGCCAAATCAAATTGCAGTAGCATGATGTCTGCTACAAAGTGCCATCCGGAGGCCAAAGCCTACATTAAAAAGGTGGCTGGGTTGCCTCAGTCCATATCTGTCATACTAACTGATGTAGTGTCCTCCACCTCCAAAATCCCTGCTCGCCCTTGCCGCTACCTGTACGCTGGAGCACTGATGCTTTCCAGCAATGTCCCCAGTCTACTTCTGGTTTAATGCAAGAACAAATAAATATATATGTTTGCTAAATATGTATAATAAAACATCACTGGTCTTGCTGAAGATCTGCCTAGCCATAAGACATGTAGTGCTTTAATTAGAGGTATAGAATTGTGAAAGTTTCTACTGGGTGAACCAAATATGAATATTTAAATTTAACTGTGAATCAAAATATTTTTAAATAGGAATTTTTTTACTTTTTACTTGAACCCAGAATGGCTAGTTTTAAAATCCAACTAGAAATATTTGCTGGAGAGCATGCGAGGACAAGGGAGGGTTTTATTACACAACTAGCATTTCACATACCTGTATTAAGAAAAAAAAAGCCCTGATAAGATTGCATGGTTATACCATAATACAACATGGCAAGCAAAGTATGACAGATTTATCTATGAGGAGTCTAATAGTAATTATAACCAAGGAAGGCTGACCAATAGTGAACAAAATGTGCAAGACCACCGAGTTAACTGATTAGCCGTTTCTCCTAGCACACCAGTGCAAAGCAGTGAAGCTTGATGCGCTTGCTCTGATGAAAAGCAGGGAACCCTGACGCCAGAGCATTGATTCGGTGCGGGACAGCTTTGACGCGAGAAACCCGACAATTCTGAACACAGTAATTTTCTAGTATTCCACAAACTCAAATAGTACATTGAATAGTTAAAGTGTGCTGTGAATCGAATATGACGGCAAACACTATTCACAAATTAGTTGAATTTCGAAATATTCACGCATTTCTACTTTTAGTTTGTTATATTTTCATCCTAGATTCTCTTTTGCAAAATAGGGTACAATGAAGTAAAACATTTACGGAATGCTTCATATAATTAACCCGAATACACCATAAAAACAAATTTGTCACGAGCACTAATATGCACTCATTATTCTGATAGCTTATATAAAAATATCTGGCTTCGTTTTTGTTTTCTTTAGCTGCATGAAGTTTCCATCCTCTGCTGAAGAGTGGCTCCAGATTGCAGCGGGCTTCGAGCAGAGGTGGGAGTTTCCGAACTGCATTGGCGCACTGGACGGAAAGCACATCCGGATCACGTGCCCGCAGGAGTCTGGGTCGTATTACTATAATTACAAAATGTATTATAGTATTGTCCTTATGGCACTTGTGGATGCGGATCTGAAGGTTAGTTCCTGTCATGTGTGCATGTGTACATAAGCAACTGCAACAGCATCGGAGCGACCGGTGTTTAATAAAGCCCTATTTCTCTTAGGCCCATCTATGTGCACGCTGGAGTAAATGGCAGGTGTAATGATGCCACCACCTTCAGGTCCTCGAGTCTGTTCCAGAAACTTGCTGACCCCTCCTGCAACTTTCCCCCTCCACAGCCATTACCAGGTAATTTGTTTTGTAAATGTTTTTCAATTGTTCATTATGACATTACTGTTACACATGTATTTTGTACACACAGTAGCACTCACCTTGGGTGTTGGCATTATTAGAGAAAAGCAAAGACACAGGCTAGCTCATGAAATACAGCAACCACTTAAACCCAAGAGCAAGGCTAAAAAAGGGGGCGAACCACAACTTTCTGGTGGTGCTGTTTGTACCTTTCTGTCTACAACTATGAAATTTCACATTGAGGTGTTACAGAAGTTTGATAGTATGAATGGTAGCACCAACATTAACACATTGTTTAATACCACTGCATTGTGCTGCCGAGGTGTGCTGCTACTGAAACACATTTTTCTTGTTCAAGGCCGCACAAAAGCTGTCAATCACGTTATCGTGGCTGATGCAGCCTTCCAGTTGAGTGACCGGGTGATGCGCCCCTACGGGAGGGCACAGCTGCTCAAAGATGACAAGAACAAGAAAGAGAGGAGGGTGTATAATGTGAGGTAAGTTTGCATGTAAAGATCTCATGCTAAATCATGCGAAACAAGAAAGCGTTGCGAACTATAGCAAACTGAATTCTTGGGGCCAGCAAAGAAAAAGGTTTCAAGAGCATGAATAAATGATTCTAGATGTTAGATGATTCTAAATGTTTTATATCTGCATTTCTAGGCACTGCACTGCACGTCATGTGGTCGAAAGTTTCTTTGGAATAATGGCATCGCGCTTTCGAGTGCTCCTGGCGACCATCAACACGAGCCCGACCAATGCCAGCCTCATCACTTTGGCGTGTTGCCTCCTGAGTAACTTCATAAGAGTGCGGACAGGATCTGACGGGGTTGTTGGAGCTGCAGCACAGCAACAGGCTGACGCACCAGACAGCCTTGACAGGCTTCGACGCACAGGCACCAAGGCATCAGGGACTTCCTCCAGCCAACGGGACGAATTTAAGGGGTATTTCTCCAATGAGGGCAGGGTTGTGTGGCAGTACCAATGCCTCGACAAGCACTAGGTGTCGAGGCTGCTAAAGTCAGTGACAGGTGAAGAGTTCAGAAAAAGCTCAACACACCTCTTTCCACGTTAGCGGAGCGAACGCTGGAAAGGGGGTTGCCTCCTTTCCAGCGATCACTCTGCTAAAGTGGAAAGAGGTAGGAGCTTCCGCTTAACTCTCAACTTGCCGCCGACTACAGTGGTGACTGCCTCACATTATGAGGGCCCTACCGAGTCACAGTAATGTTCTTTTTCCCTGGAACTAGTGAAGAGTGGAGTCGGCTGCCTAGTAAAGATGTACTCATGACAGACTTTTAAACTAGATTTTTAAATAGTTGTGTTGGATGGATGGTGCTTTTATTTTCCACTCGTTTTTGACAGTGAGCTTTATATCCAGGTTCTTTGACACCTAGACCTTTTTTTTATACTTGTGTTGATGGATATTTTTTTCTATGTATTTCAGTACTGTTATGTGAATGCATCATTATATACTTTTTTCATATTAGTTGTGTTTAATATAGTTGTCCTTTATGAATGCCTTTGTAAAACTCATTCCTACTAGAATGCTTTACGGAAATGCAGTTTCTTTTTGTAAAATCAATAAAACAGGGCTATGCAAACATTGGTGCCACAAGTACAAACTCTGTCAGGTGTTATGCATGCACTTAACAAAATAAACGTGAAACTCGGTGAACAGGTTTCACCTCATATAAGAAGACTTTATTGGCTCATGATAATTGCCTACATGAAAAAACAAAAGATCAATGTGACAGGTACCACTCTTTCAACTATATTTGGCATTACTGGAGTACAAAAATACAAACGAAAGTACAGTAACATTCGAAATGAACAGGGGACATTAATAGTGCGAATGTAAAATATCTAATGGTGAAGCTGGCAAATCGTCAGCCTGACACAAAAACTTGTTCTCTTAAAGATGCCTCGTGTTAATAATTGCATAAGGACACCAACATTTTTACTGATTTTTGAGAACAATCTTTTCAAACCTCTTTTCCTATGGCACAAGTTCCATCACATCAGCAACTGAAGTGTGCATTACTACATTATGTTTTGCCTGTAGGACCATTTGCATAAGCTGTATCTTAAGGAAATCCCTGTCGAGGGTCGGTAGCTGCTTCAGCTCCCGTGTGAGGGAAGCAGAGTACAGGAAGTCCTCGTCTTCAAATAAGCTATTGACGGGCTGGTTCAGCAACGACAGAGCTTTCTCGAGGACAGCTTCCTGGGTGCTTGTCCCTTGCCTCTTTTGCTTCTTTCCTCTCTTCAGCTGTGGCACTGGGGGATCAGGTTCCGTAAGAATGACATCTTCCTCAGACTCGTCGGAGGCGTTGTCTGCGGACACAGGGCCAGGCATATTCCCCTGTAGGTGGTGACTGGCGCCCGAGGTACTTGGCCGATCTAAAGTAGAGAAACCTCTCCTGGGGGTGTGGGAACCTTGAAGGAACGGCATGTCCTCAAAGAATTCCCACCTTGACTTGTATAGGTCACCTGTGCCCTTTCCAGATGCTCTGGAGTTTTCAATTTTGCTCATTTCTTTAAAAAAATATGTCCTCAGGTTCCTGAATTTGGTGTGTGCTTCTGATGCTGGTAAATAGAGTGTATCATACATTTAGACAGGTTATTGGTTCCCCAAAGGAAGGTTGAACAAAATAGCTCACTAAAACAAATATTTTTCTTGGTAAGAGGTGTTTACAAAGCTGGTTTTATTTAGAAGGACTGATGTAAAACAATTCAAAACTTGAACCAAAAGAACTTGAGCTTGTTCCCTCAGAAAATTATAAACTGCAGCAGATAGCTCTATGTGTTTGGATGGGTCATAATGCTACCTAATGTTATCTATTTTTAAAACAATCACTTGGCTCATATAAATCAGATGTGAAAACAAACCACAGCACTTGTTAGAAATATAAAAAACAAGTGCTTTGCAATATGGAGCAGAGAAGTTAAGTTCAGAACTTGTCTTGGGCAACCATTTTATAAGGGCACTGGTTACAAGTTTTTTTATATATCATGTATCATAACTTGTTCTTGACCTGCTCCGGGAGTTGACCTGCTACTCCGAAAAGTACCGCAGGCCTTTCTATCGACATAAAAGACCTATACTACGAACTGCCCCAGGACGGTCTTTTGCGATGTGTAGAAGAGAGTATTGATTCTTTTGGTGGCATAGCGTTCCAAAATTCTGCGGGTATTTCCGAAGACAATTTTCTACATCTACTCTCGGTTTATCTACACTCGACCTTTATTACCTGGAAAGAAAAAACGTATCTACAGAAGAAAGGTGTTTGCATTGGGTCATGCATTGCCCCAGTGCTAAGTGATCTATATCTCGCCCACCAAGACAGACTCTTGAACAATTGGCTTGACTCCACCAGAGTTGCTAGAGTATTTCGGTACGTCAATGATTATTTGATCATTCTTGACGCCGAAAACAGTATTGTTCCAACCACTATTGCCGGTGTTCTATCTCTACTTTTAAAAACTGCCTAAAACCACTGGAAATTACTTATGAGCTTCCGGAAGAAAGATCAATCCGATTCCTCGATCTCAGGCTCAATTTACAACACACTCGTATATGCTGGAAATATGAGGCAAGGAGTAAAAAAAACAATTCTTCCGTACAATTCGGCACATTCTAAGCTAGTAAAAAGAGGAATCGTCAAATTATGTCTAAGTAACTCTCTTCAAAAATCTTGCGAGCATTCTATTTCAATAAGCTTCGATGCCCAAATTTCCAGATTAACATCCGCCGGACATCCCACGTCATTATTAACATTGATTGCTGAAAGCATCTTGAAAACAAAAAATACGAGATCATATATCACACCAAGAGCCAGAGAAAGATCTACGAGACCTGTCGTGCTTCCATACTTCCACAGGTTCTCCCATGGCATCAAGAAAATCGCCAACAAGTTCAACATCAATGTCGTCTTTACTGCTCCCAATAAGCTTGGCAACTTGTGTAAACAAATCAACTCACCTGATTTCCACCGAACAGTATGCTGCACCAAAAACCATCAAAACCGGTTCGTTGAGTGTGCCGATGAAGTGGTGTACTCATTTCCCCTTTCGTGCGGGAAAGTGTACATTGGTCAGACCGGACGATGCCTTAATGATAGGCTCCGGGAACACAACAACAACAGCTCCAGAGCCAACTCAGGGCATCTAGGCATACACTGCCGGGATTGTGGGTGCGACGTTCACTTGCCATCCTGTACAATTTTAGGTAGGAACAGAAACCAATTAACTCGAGAAATTATCGAAGCGGAACATATCGCCAGGAACTATAACAACTGTATAGGTACACCATCTTTACACCTGACAGAAAAAGAGAAAACATTTTTAGGCATCTAGGAGATCGGTGCGCGTGATTTGGGAAATTCGGTGGTGCTAGAGGTTGAAGACAAAGTTATATAAAAAGATATGTAGTCAATTAAAACTTGTTGTTGGCCTAGTTGGTTCATGATGCGCTTGTCCGTGTCTACTCGCTTGTACTTGTCCCCTGTGTCGCGCAAAAAAACCTCCTTACTGCACATAAAAAGAGTTGTCAGTCAGCGCGGTTTGTTTGAATTTCGCTTTATTTTTCGTGTGTAAGGTGTGAGTGTTGTTTGCTATAGTGGGCTGTGGTGTGTGTAATCAGCGAAATAATGATGTCGAAGCGCCGGCGGATGTCAATTACGGGAGTTTGAGTACCTAAAGTACAAGCGATGGAAGCGCAGGCAGAGCAGACCAAACCCGAACTGCCCGAAACCAAATTCCCGCCTCTTCTAGTTATCATTATCATCATGAGGGTTACATAACATTATTTTGTAATGTCATTTCATTTTTTTAAATAAAGGCTTACACATAAATTCTGCCCTGTGTATCTTTATGAAGCATTTCGAATACTATATATTAAAGTCAAATCCAGTTTTTAGTTATCATTATCATCACCACCACGGGAGGGGTCACGTGAAACTTTTGTGCCCCTGATTGGCTGTTGGCGTTTCCAACGTCTCCGAATTGCTCCGAGTTGCTCGCTTGTTTCAAGCCGGACCCGATCTCAGCAATTCATGTCGATCTAGGGAAAGCTAGAGAACAACCCGCCAGCAACCCCGAAATTGCTGGAAAAGTTGCTCTGTCTGAAGCGGGCCTTAACAGCAAATAAGGTGGCACTTAAGACTCTACCTTGGGGGACACCATTTTTTTGTAAGAAGACACTGGATAAAGTTGAGCCTAATCGAACTTGAAATGTATGTCCACTTAAAAAGTTGTGTAAGCAACAGAGCATGCGGCCACGCACTCCACAGTTGTACAGATCTCGAGATATACTATACTTCCATGTAGTGTCATATGCCTTCTCTAAATCAAACAACACAGACACACAATGCTGCCGGTGAACAAAGGCCTCACGTATGACGGTCTTGTGTTTCACGGTGAAGCTAGTCCATGTGCCTGGAAAACGCTTGACATTTGCTGACACACTGTCTTGTGCACCTAATCCAGCACATACCATCAAGACAGTATACGAGGAACATGGTGTCCTGGTCTGCACATTGGTTCAAGCATCCACAGCAAAGCTGGCTGAAATCCAAGCTAGCATGGCAGCAGATGAGGTCTTGAAGCGTGTAACGACCTAAATCGAACACGGTTGGCTAAACAAAATCTCAAAGGTCCACCCGTCAGTCAGACCCTTCTACTCAAGTGAGCTCTACATAACTGATGACTTCGTTTGCTATGGCGGACTAGTAGTGCCAGAAGCATGCAAGAAGGTTGTGCTCTCAAGACTTCACATGACCCACCACGACACTGTTGCATGCAAGAACCTGGCTTCCCAAAGAGTCTTCTGGCCTACGATAAACCAGGACATCGAGGAGCTGATCAGCAGCTGTGAAGTTTGTCAACACCACCAAAGAGCAAATCAAAGAGAACGACTTGTTGACCGAGACTTGCCAATGTGTCCATGGGAGAAAGTAGCCATGGATTTCTTCCACCATGGTGGTACCACTTATTTGCTTGAGGTAGATTATTACTCAAAATTTGTGGAAGTCAAGAAAATGTTGACTACAACGGCATCTGCTCTTTTAGCAGTGCTCAAGGAGCTATATGCGTGCCACGGCATACCAAGTGAAGTTGTCAGTGACCAAGGCCCTCCATTTGATTCTGTGGAGTACAGAAGCTTCAACAAAGAGTGGGATATTGTCCACAATCCATCGTCACCACTCTTTTTGAGGTCCAATGGACAAGCAGAAAGGACAATACAAACCATCAAGGCCACAATGACTAAGGCTCTTTACGGAGGAAAGGACTTGGCACTAGTGTTGATGACCCACAGAGCAACGCCAAGTAACGGCCTTCCATCTCCAGCAGAAATGTTGATGGGAAGGATAAAGACTAATACCAGCCTGTCCAAGTAGCTTGCTGCCACACTATCCACACAAGTCATTCTTCAAGCAGCTTCAAGCAAGGCAGCGTGCAGAGCATAAACACAGGGATCAACATGCGCTAGAGCTGCCTCCTTTTCAGAAGAACCAGCCAGTTTGGTTTTGGCATGGGAAAAGTTAGAGAAAAGCAGTTGTGATACAGGAGGGTCCAGCTTCACGGAGATACCAGGTGAAATCGGCAGATGGCCAGAACTACGCACGTAACCGCCATCATATCCGTATAAGAATCGACTCCAGAGAGTCCAAGGCCAAGCTCAACCAGAAAGACGACCCGAGGAACCCTGACTGACAGCTGAGGACTACTATCCTCTAGACTTTTCGCCCACTGCCAGCGACTCCCTTCGTCAGCCAAATGCAAGGGACTCGCCCCCACAAGCTCAACCCTGCCAGACTCGCTCGGGAAGACCTGTGAAGATTCCGTCAAGGTTCTCGTACTAAACCCTGTTGAACATCTTATTTTTGTGCATTTATTACATATGTGGCCGCATGTTATAAATCAATATGTTTAGTAGCACCCTTTCGGTGGCGGTTTGCCCTCTTCAATAAAAGTCGGGCCCAGCCGTGAGGTTGACACATGATGGCGGCCCGTCTGAATGAACACGTGTCCGATTCAATCCATAACAATCAAGACGTAGCACAGAGCATATAGAAGAATTTGTTGACATGGGACAGTTCACCCCCACAAGTGAAAAGCATCAGGTGGCAAATTATGGCATGGTTATTATGGACACAGCTACTTTGTTTTTTCGCTATGCATAGAAACATGAAATGAGATCGCCTGGCCAAAGTGATGATAGAAACAGTCATCTTGGCAGAAAATGCTGGCCTCTTTGTGGTTTTCATTACATGTGACGGGGCTACATAGAACAGAAAAATTTGGTAAGTGATGGACATTGATGCAACTGCATCAAGAATGAAGTGTAAAGTGTCGCATCCTGTCGGCAGCAAGCGATCACTTCATTTCATCTCAGACTTCCCTCATCTTGTGAAATGCACCAAAAATGGCCTCCTGCAATCAGGCTTCAATATGCTAGCTGGACACATGAGTGCGCAAACTTTCAAAGGTGCATATACTGTGCTGTCTACAAACATTAATATGATGTATCTAACACAATGTATTTTACCACTGCAGGTGTCCATTCATCAATTTGTGTGGGAGGCTTTAAAAGTTGAAGGCTCGAACGTGACTCTTCAGGCCATCCCCGGCATCACCACATGCTATGTGCAAGCCAACAACTTTGAAAAGATGAGTCATGTTCGCTTCTCAGCTTTTTGGTGACGCCGTTCTCACCGGCCTTCACGTCTACCAAAGCGAGATTGAAGCCTGCTGTGGAAGCATCCAGTCCGTCCCAATTTTCTTTGGGTAAGGCAGAAAGTTTGATGATCGTTTGCTTGATTGACGTATGCGCGAACATGCGACTCGGAAGTCGTGACACATTGGCAGCGCTGCGGATGTCACAATGCATGCTTAGAAGTTTCGCCTGCTGCAAAGCTAGCTTCTGTACAGATACAATGCCCAAAACTTGTGTAGGCATTTTGTTTGTAAACAAGTGGTTGGTGTATATGAATAAGTACATTAGAAAAACATTAAAGTTGTAATTTCAAGAATAAAAGCAGACTATTTCTTTCAGTCTCCTTCAAAAAAACTTGATAACATGTCATGGGGACCACGATTCTGAAGTACCCTCAAAGTGTACCTCGTCATGGCAATTGGAGACACATCATGGATTGGGCACGAGCACTGCTCGAGCACTTGACTTAAGCTCGTGATAATGAATGCCTCGGCGAACACTCGGGCAGTGACTCGTGTTCAATCCAGGAAATGACAAAAACATTCAAACTTTAACAATATCTGGAACTGAGCACGTGCCCATGTGCTCTGCGAGTCTGTGGCTATGATGAGCATTGGTGGCATTTAATCTGCGCCGGGTCACGTGGCCACTTGTTCTGACTGTGAGTTGAGGAGGTGAAGGCTGCTCTCTTTTCTTAATTTTTTTCCAAGACTGCCATGTGCACAGAAAGACACCGATTCTCGTTTCACATATTGTGAACACAAAGATTAATTCTGAGGAACGTCGAAGATTAAGTCTGAGTAAGCAAAAGTAAGAACATTGTAGCACGGCCCTATTAAACAGCTTTCAGTGTGCTTAGTTAGTACAGCGCTCCGCTTGCAATGGAGAGCTCCTGGGATTGAGCCCTGGACAAGGCAGATTTTTTCAGCTGCACACCAATTGCTTTGAAGGTGCAAGTTGCACTACATTTAGGTGGAAGTTTATAATTCATCAATAGATTGTAACATGCTCGAATTACATGTTTATCTTTTTTATTTCAGCTTGGAGTGGATTTTTATGGCACAAGGGCTGCTGAGGCCAAAAAAGGCAACTATTACATTGCGGGTAAGCAAGAAGAAAGGACTCATGTGGTCAAGGTTAAAAATAAAGAAATGAGACATAATCCGGATAATGTCACAACCAATAATGGGCATGAGTGAAAAGCTTTGCAGTTCACAGGTGATGTAGAAGACCAATAGCATCTAAATACTTAAAAACCTGCTTGTAAGTCACAAATGGTTCATCACCCAATAACAACAATGGGTGTAAGGAAATGTGCTTTCTGTATAACTGTGCGAAGAGAAATTGGCGTTTTTGTTCATAGAAAGGGCACTCAATTAGAAAATGGAGAACACTTAGAGCTTTATTGCATTGTTCACACAAAGGGGCATACTCCCCATGGAGCAAGTAGCCATGAGCGCAGTGTGGCACAGATGCCTCTAAAACTGTGCTTCTTACCCTCTTCACTTCATCAAGCACCTACCAGCTGGGAACAGAGATCCTAGGTGCTACCAAAACGTTGCTTCTTCAGGTATTGTTCCACTTGCTTCACATTTGCATGTTAAATTTAGCCTCCCGTTATACATTATCTTGTCATTGTATATGTAGAACTTGGTTTTAGCCCCAGAAGAGGCACGCCAACTTGAAAAGGACAGCTGCCAGCAAGCGAAAAGCACAACATGGAAGGCTGCCTGAACCAACAGGCTTATGCCATCTTCATTTGGGACCGTCGTAACCCGAAAATCGTGGACAAATGTGGGGCTACACAACCTCACCAAAGAGCAAGATCTTTCTCGAGTCTGAGCCATCAAGTGAGTACTTAGGCCCGCTTCAGACGGAGCAATTTCGCCCAGCAACTTGACGTCGCAAAACCAGCAACACGGGCCGCCCGCGTTCACACGCAACAACCGAATTGCTCCGACTTGCCATCATTATTAAATTTGATTTTTCTTTCACTATTTAGACACGCCAAGCTACGCGCTAAAAACGCGTTCTTATATCTTTGAACGGCGTTGAGAATACTAATTCATTTTTCTGAAACTTTTTATTTCCAAAAATGGTCCATTTCAAACTAGAACTAAGTTTTCAGCTGTCATCATCACCACCACAGGGGTGTCAAGTGAAAATATTGCGTCTCTGATTGGCTGCGGCCGTTTCAACCGCCTTCGAATTGCTCCGAGTTGCTCGCTTGTTCGAGCCCTTCGAGCCGGACCCGATCTCAGCAATTCACGTCGATCTAGGGAAAGCTAGGGAACAACCTGCCAGCAACCTTAATATTGCTGGAAAAGTTGCCCCGTCTGAAGCGGGCCTTACACACCATTTCTGGGCAAGATAGTTTTTCCCTTTTGAGGATGTACGCTCTCCAACTACTCCTCTTTTTGATAGAAAGATGCATGCACAAGAATACTTGCAGTACAACATAAGACGGCCTGTGTGAATCCACAGTAGAGCATGGCAGTGTCGGCAGACCGCGTCACCTCTTGCATCTTCATCGGCAGCGGTCAACTTGCTCATAGCTTGCATTCTTTGAAGGGGCGCTCTTCGTGGAGGTTTCTTGGCGGCGTTAAATACAAACGTGCTTGGTACAATTCCTTTGTTCAAGCAATGGATACCTGAGGTGACATTGAAGAGATAATCCTCCTCTTGAAAATTTTAGGAAAACGCACCTTTGTGTATTTGTGATAGTGAATAGTTTGTCTTTGTCTGGTTTAATGGCAATTACCCATTTGTTGTGCAAGTCAGTTCTTTCAGGAAAGCAAAAAATTATATCTGGAAGGAAAAATAGAATAGGGTTCGCCGAATCTAATCACGTCACAATCATAAACACGGTTAAAGCCAACGCGCGATCACGCAATTTTGAACGGGTCTGTCACACCACCCGTAGACATGCTAGACTCTTGAAAATTCATGTTCTTTTAAGAATAAAGTTCTAGGCACGACGTGGAACGATCATGCCATTTGGGTTACCCTTTTCGGACGGTGCGTTCATCACTGGAGAGCGTGTCAACATATCGCCCCGCCTGCGTTCACACCGCTTTGTCGTGAGAGTCTGCGACTGTTCATTACAAAACTATTAACCCCACTAGGCCCCCTCCCTCATTATAAAACTACACGCCGCTTCGCAGCGTCCAGCAGCCATGCGTATAGCCATTTCTGGTCAAGGTGCGTATAGAATTGTTCTTCTTAAGCTCTCGGGAAGCGTGAGAAAAACAGCTATGGATTGTGAAGTGTAAGCTTGCAGGCCACTGCTCAAAAATTTTTATTGTTCCAGTGTGGTGCACTTTGTACTTCCATGCACAAGCGCTGTTAGCCCATGCTTTCTCTTTCAACCCTTTTCCTGAAGTCACAACCTCGTGCTCTAAAGACTAAAGACCGAACCGCATGTAAGCGATTTAGCGAGCAACTGAGCGACAATGACAGTGACGAGAGTCAGCGACGAGCAACGGAGATATTACTATGTAGCACGTGGCGTCGCACGGTTTTTGATTTGTAGAAAATGTCGCTATACTCGCTCCTGTCACTTTCATGCGGTTTGCCTCGTCGCGCGACTCACCGAATGACAGCGAAGCCTGTCGCCGTCGCTTATCTCGTCGCTCGCCAAATCGCTTGCATGCGGTTTATACTTGACAGCAAAACAAGAAG